ATATATATATACATGGATACATAAATATATCGATATACATTGTTTTTCAACATTGTAAAACCTTCCGTGTATTAAAAAAAATCATTCCATTTAAATAAGTAATATAGGCTTATATTTTAAAATTTTGCTCGAAATAATAGGAATTTAGTATCTGTTACAATTTACAGCTTACCTCCCACTGAATTTCTATATAATTTCTAGACACAGATTTAATTGTTGGCGGTGACGGCGATAGTGGCTCTGAATCTTTCATGAAATGGAAAAGAAGAAAATCCTTATACCCATGATTTACATATTCAACAAAGCTATTGATCGAATATTACCTTCACAGTGTAAAAATAATTTATGAATTTAAATTTGACTCATGTTCTATTGTACAACACATGTATGAAATTGGTATGAGCGTCATATAAACTAGCCAAACCCAATAAATTTTAGGACATTATTATTGTCCAAATATTTATATATTATATTTAACATAATTCTAGCCTCTTTAGTAGACATTTCGACTTACTATTAACATCAAATTAATCTGTATGCCTACCTAAACAAGTGGTTTGAATTATTCCTTGTGGACTTGCCGGTCCAGCTGTATTAACACCTTCAATGGATCGTGAAAGAATACTGTAATATGTTACAGTTTCATGAAGATTCAGTTCAGTAATATTGATGATGTCAGGTGTGCTGGAATATATTGACGTGAATTCACTGCTACCTGCTTTTTTGTACCAAAGGGTCCAGGATGTTATTGTTCCTGTACCGTAGTGTCTACCTAGTGTCCAGGTAACATCAACCGATATAGCACTTGTATATGCAGTAGCGATGGGCGGCGTATTTAAGTATGGTAAAGCTATAATTATTAATAATATCTCAACGTTAATTCTTTACAAAAATGTATTATTACCATTGGATTTAAATCCAATGGTAATAATACATTATTTGTAAGTCGCTAAAACCACAAGCAACCAGAAGAATAGAAGAAATGAATTCATTCTGGATTCAATAGAATATTGCTAAAATGTTTCTTTTGGGTAATTCAGTTCTAAATTTTTTGTAATTGAATTTTTATTTTTACTTACAAACTTGGCAAAAAGCAACGTCAAAAGTAAAGCGATGACAGCTCGGACCTTCCAATTACGTTTCGGCCGATAGCGCCACCTACTTTTTGCTTGGGTTTACCGAAGTAAATTTAAGAAGTAGAGAGCTTAAGCATGAGGAAGTAAGGCGTAAATTTCGTCATCACACCAAAGGTCAAACCAGTGGAGGATTTGTTGTGGCATGTGAAAAGGCAGCCAGGTTATTCCCGATCGAAGAGAAGGATGTCCTAAAGGGGAAAGCTACCATCTATAAATAAATCAGTAAAATTTCCTCCTTGCAACATGAGTGAAAAATAATTTGTGGACTTTTCTTAACCAAAAGAAAAAAATCAGAAATAACCACAAGAGTACTCTACAAAATTGAGAATTGAACTGGAGACACCCTCGGTTATTGACTAAGATACTCCTCAATATTTGTTTGTAATTTCTTCAAAATGTACAGTGGTTGTACATGTACAACTAATCCTAATTCGCCAATTATCACAGGTTCAATTATAGGACGGAACGATGTATTTTAATATACGGGAGTGAATTTGCTTTTAGTCGTGAGAGAAATTTTTGCTGTCACAGGATTTAAACCCTTGGCTATGAGATTAAAAACATCTTTAAAGCCTGTCTCTGGTGGAAAGAAATTATATGTTTTAATGTACAACCGATTGTTCTAAGACAAAAATAGGGTGTCTAAGCATTAGGGAACAGTTAATAAGATTGATATTTTTGAATTGAGAAATTTTTGCTGTCACAGGATTTGATCCCTTGGCTATGAGATTAAAAACATCTTAAAGGCTGTCTCTGGTGGAAAGAAATGATATGTTTTAATGTACAGCTGATTGTTCTAAGACAAAAATAGGGTGTCTAAGCATTAGGGAACGATTAATAAGATTGATATTTTTGAATTTTTTTAAACTGGGGGAAGGCGTAACCACCCTCTTAATATCACAAAATATTTTCTGTATATTAAACTCATCAGACCAATCGTAATATCATAGGCCTAACTGCATTAAATTTTGTGATCACAGTAATGACACCTACCTATGCTACAGTTTGAGCCAGCCCATGATTCATTGCACCCATTTATACAGCTGCCATCATCTCTGTTACAATCGTCTCCGCTCGAACAGTGACATGGGTAGTTACAGAGTTTACCAAAGAAACCAGACGGACAGGATTTGTCTGATGATAGTACTGGAAGAAATTAAGTGGACACAGTTTCAGACGAAGTAAACGGGGTAAATGGGGTACTGTGGGGCGATAGTACCTTTCCTTGTTTGACCCAGACTGGTTTTCAAACACCCAGCACCACTATATAAAACTTTAAATATCAAGGAGAATGGATAGGAAACACAGAGAAGGATATAGCAGTAAGGAAGGCGTTAGCTTGAAGTGCTTGTCATAACTTAGATCACTATGAACCTCCAATCTGTCACGGAAGATCAAAGTTAAAATTTTACTTGCTACTGTTGTTTGACTGAAGTACATCCAGTGGTTGCAATAACACTTGACTGTCACAGGAGACTTGTTCGCTGTGACGCACGCAGTGATCAGCAAGTTGCACTAATCTAACAAACGAGCAGCTGTATCAAAATCTTCCACTCGTATCTGAATTAAAGACGACTGCAACTTGCTGATTACTGCGTGTGCCACAGCGAACAAGTTTGCCTGCAGCCTAGTATTATTGCAACCACTGGATAGACATAAGAAGAGAATTAGGAAGAAAACCACCTTCATAGAAACTCTTAGGCAAGGAGGAGGGATGGTGAATACGGGTGAGTTTCGCAATTTTATGTTGGATAGATACATCATCAGTGCAACCTGGTGGTCGGCAAAGGTACGGTGAGTTAAAGTAAGTTTAGGTAGACTTAATCATAAACGCGTGCAGGAGGTAATTAGGGCGGATTTAGAGGGGAACCGGGTCGGCTGCTGCCCCCGCCCCCCACCTTTTTTTTTTTGAAATTCGAAAAAAGGAAGAAAAAGAAAAAAAAATGTATCGCCCGAAAGGCCTCAGAGGTTATTTTCGGGCGTCTAGAACACAGATATTTCCGGGGACATGCCCCCGAACTCCCTAGGGTATTGTTATCTCAATCGGCCCGACTTTCGCCCCTTCCGGCTTCACCTTTTGGGCATTTCTCGATCCGCCCCTGGTACTATACAGAGGGCATTGCCTATATTCTAAACCCTCCAGATTATCAAATTATATTTGATAAATATATGTTACATGGCTAAATATGGTCATGATGACATCACATCATGATCATATATTGGTGATTATGATGCTTAAAAAGTACCGTTTTTTGTATTTCCATTTATCACTGTCATCGTAATACCATCATCATTATCATCGTCATCACCATCGTCGTCGTCATTATCATCTTCATCATCATAATTTTTATCATTATCATCATCATCATAATTATCATAATGATTATATGTCAGCATCATAGTCATTTTCATTTTCATCAGCATCATAATCATCAGAATCATCATAACCATTCATCATCATTTTCATAATTATCACTACTTCAATCATCATGATCGCCAATACCTTGGCATTGTGGTCCCGTGTAACCGTCCCAACACAAATCATTAATGCATCCATATTTTCGATCACAATATGTAACATTGCAGTGACACATTTGTTGACAACTGGCACCATACCATCCAGTGCGACATGCTGTGGGAGAATATGTGTTTATGGTACATGGTAGTTAAAATAAATGTATGCATAACTTGTATAATATCGAAAATAATTTTTCTATTTAACTTGAATAGGCCTTCATTATTTTGTGGAATTATAAATAATAATGAATCTTGAAAACTAATAATTCTACATAACCTCTTGTAGGACGGTGATTACAATGTGATCTACACTCGGAATTATTACCAAATAAACAGGTTCAAGTTTCCAAACCTTTAAGTCGTAGACGGGCAGAAATAGCAAGTTTTGTTATTGTAAATGCAATTACAGTATTCACTAGATTTAATTAAATCTCTCTAAATAATTCCTACACTTTTTGATATTTTTCACGTTTTGTTACTTCCAATGGAATAGTTTAGTTTAGATTAGTTGCCAGTATCACTAGAGCATCTGTGATTACCTGTCTATGAGGGAAATATTCAATTGATATCTCTAATTAATTAAGGTTAATTGTCGGCACTCTTTTTTCACTAATACGCCAGAATTATTGCTATAAAATATTCTGTATTCAACAATTTTTCCTCAAATATGGGACAAACTGCCCGGCGAAATAAGGAACAACCTTTTGTTTAATTTCACTTCATTCTGCAGATCTCCCAAGCTTCATTTTACATGTTAATTTCAATTTAACATTTACTTAATTTCTGCATTTTAGTACAAAGTTTTAAATTATTATTTCTTTTTTTTTGACAAATGATTAATATTTTTATCTTTATTGTTGGTAATTGTGATATTTTTTATTTTTTGTGGGAAACAATCGATAGCTGATTTTTTTCCCCATTTTTTTGGTTTTCCTCTCTTTTGTTGTTTCTCATTGCGTCTGTTTGTTCCTGTCTTTTGTACTTTTTTTGATAAATTAAATGAAATGAAAACCTTCCCCAGACGGCCATTATCTATTATTAAGTACCCTACATCTTTAGATAATTACGTTGTGAACAATGTATTATTGAGCAATTTTACTTTGTGAACAGTCAAGTCCTCCGTAACCAGCAATGCAGTTGCATCCAACTGGGTCTGGGGGGCAGAATACCATTTTCGTACAGCTTTCTTCAGTTTCCCAACTGCAAAGGACACTGCAAAATCGCCCAAAGTAATTTGATCCACACCCTGCATAAATTAATACACATAAATTTTGAGATGAAAGCAGACAGACTTGGTGGATTAAATAGCGTTATATTTTATTATAATGTTTATATACACTCGCAAAAAGACCGCCTTGGGTGGCCTTTTGCGAGAGCAGAAAGACAGAGCAATCCTGTAAAAATGACATGTTATATGACTTGGGCAACTGTCTTCTGTCTTGTCAAATTGAATCAATCATATCATGTAAGCGAGGAGGTAAGACGTGTCTCACAACCACTCCATAAGAACGCATGTGAAATACAGTTTTTCTTCTACAAACTGCCAGCATTATCGTCTCTGTTTATTCAAAAAGGTATACCAGATTATCTTGGTAACTTAAAATGGATATGAAACCATTTTCAAAAATCCAATGAATGAAAGTTTTGGAATCCTTGGGTAGTCAATAAACCAGTCACAAAATACTAACCTTGAACAATTTGTTGAATTTGAGAAATTAATAAAAACATTTGTAAAGTAATTTCTCCGAAAAATGGCCGATATGTCGATACTCCATCTTTGTTTTCATACGCATTCTAAACCCACTGCGATCGTTCAGATAATTTGAAACAACCGCGTTATATTCCCGACTGTAAGTGATTTGTGATTGGTCAATCAAATTGCACTTTGACACGATAATCGCCGACGACAAGTAAACAAACAAGATGCCGAACGGTTGTTGTGTATTCGGCTTCAATAGAACGCAAATAAGTCACCCAAAAGTATTAGTCAGGAGGCATTTGTATTTTACTTCAATTATTTAGCCAAGTCTGATTTTTCACTTTTATTTGTTCAATGACACCACAAGGAACAATTTTCAATTTTTAGATGCGTTTTTCACTCGTTGGGGGCGCTTTAAAAAAAATGGCGGTTTGTGATATTGGTGCCTATATCTCGGCAACCACTGATGGTAGAAGCTTCTAAATGGTCTCAAAATGTTCACAATGTATATATTACTATTTGCGCTAATAGAACATTTTGCTGAAAAATGGCCGGAAATGCGATTTGACCTTTGACCTTGTATGCTCATATCTCTGTAAATACTAGTCGTACATACTTGAAATTAATTTCAAATTGTTCGCAATATGTATATTTATATTTACTTTAATGAACATGTTTGTTCAGAAATGCCAGGAAACGTCATATTTGACCTTTGATACAAAATGCGTTCCGGTTAGGGTATATCCTTTACTGACTTTACTTAGATAAGGTATTTTGGTCATAAAAGTGTTATAACATTTATATTAATAATTTCTTCTGTAGGAAATATTGTTTAAAAGTTATAAAAGTAGTATGACCAACAATCTTATGATCAGGTTGCCATTTACCAATCCAGTCAATAAAGTTCATCAATATCATCTACTAGTTCTGTTGTAAAGTCCTTTGTATTTTCACACCTATCACCACATTCACATGCATCAGTACAGAGAAAATTGTTCTTCTTACACCCACAAAGATTGGTTGAGCATTAACCATTACAAGTACATTTATGCATTTCTAGAAGAGCCTCTGGTGCTGGTGGATTTTCGCAGAACACGGGCTTTAAATTACCATCTTCTAGTTTCCATGAGTATCCTTTTGCTGATGGAATAGACGGATTTGGTTTGCATGACGACTTCCATACCAGGGCCATATAGTATGCCCTTTCCACGTGTGGTCTAAGAGTTCCCATGGTTGGAGGTAATTGCTGTCCTTCTTTACCTTTCTGTGCAAATAACATCCATCTCAGGTCTTTCACATTATCTGCCTTGATCTTTGCGGTGCTGTAAAGAAGGCACACATACCTTTCCATTTGCCTGAATATCAAATCTGGTATATCACAGCTCAGTCCATATACAGCAAATGCATCTAGTATTTCGTTGTCACATCGCATAAGCGCTTTGAAGTGTGCTACTACTCCTTTTCCAGCAAATGTCCCGGTGTTATCTGTACCTTTGAATGCGTACCATCCAATCAATGCCTCTGATATTTGTTTTCCAAGTTTGTAGTAGCATTCCCAGATAGATATCCTTTCACCTCGTTTCCTACAAAAGGTTGTCATTGGAGGAAGCATAGGATAGCTTCCCGTCAAAAGAATAAATACATCTGTATCCACGGAAAATATGTAAACAATGGCGTTCTGGTTTTTCTTCAAACAATCAAAGGTATTTAGCAAAACCATTTGGTCACCTTCCTCTAAAGTATGATGTCCTGATTTCATCTCTGGCATCGTGGTAATTTCTGACAAATCGCAATTAGCCTTTATGGTAGTGTGATACATTACTAGAACTCTCTTGGTGTTGTCCTTGAAATGATTAAGTAACTTCTCTGATAGATATTTTGTCAGTTCAGCTTTGGTCTCTATGTGCGATAAAAATTTCTTAATGTTTTTGATCTCTGTGTTGTCATTTACGTGGTATTGGATGGTAGTCGTTTTCTTTGTTCTCTTATCTCGTGTAATTTCTTTTAGAGAGCCTGGTAGGTACTGGTCAAAAACAACACGAATTTCATCATATGGTTTACTCATACCAACGATCATGTTAATACACTCAGATGCAAAGTCAGAAGCATTGAACTTATCAGATACCTTCTTTACCATATTGACGATACACATCCCATCAATAATTAAAATTGATATTTTTGTGGTATTGTCGTTTTGTGCAGGTTTGGTAACATTAACCGTTAGAGCAAGGTTCATGATTGACTGCAGTACATTTGATTTCCCAGAAAGCATTATCATTCCTCCGTCAGGATGAAAATTTGACGGTGGCGTGCAGTTGAACTCGTATGTTCCTATGACATCTTTAAGCGCAAATTCTGGTCTGCTCTTTGCCACAACCAACAATCTAGATAGCAGCTTCCTCTCTTGTTTTATAGAAACTAATTGACCTTTAATTTTAGTTTTTGCCACTGCTCCGACATCCTTGAAGTAGGAGAAGTTGTTTTTCTTTTGAGGGTCCCAAAAGTGTACGGTTTTTTCAACCATTCGTGTTGACACAAATTTATCAAATGCATCTTTTCCTAATTTGTCGCGATTTGCAATTGTTTGACCCACTTCATTTAAGGTTACAACAAATGTCACTAGATTGAACATGTCCGTTTGTTGAAATGGATTACCTTCCTTGGCAAGGACATCAACAAGCTTGGCAGCATTTTTCATCATCGTTAAACTTTTGTTTCCTTTCAACTCATGATGAAGTGAAGATGGTTGCCTGCATTTAA